CCAAACCCAAACCCAAACCCAAACCCAAACCCAAACCCAAACCCAAACCCAAACCCAAACCCAAACCCAAACCCAAGCCCAAACCCAAACCCAAACCAAAACCCAAACCCAAACCCAAACCCAAACCCAAACCCAAACCCAAACCCAAACCCAAACCCAAACCCAAACCCAAACCCAAACCCAAACCCAAACCCAAACCCAAACCCAAACCCAAACCCAAACCCAAACCCAAACCCAAACCCAAACCCAAACCCAAACCCAAACCCAAACCCAAACCCAAACCCAAACCCAAACCCAAACCCAAACCCAAACCCAAACCCAAACCCAAACCTTTCAAAGTTCAAACCCTAGCCCAATTTATTGATTATTATATCATTCGATTGTAAATGATGAATAGAACAATGTATTATATTTAGTTTTTCAATTTATAAAATATTAACATTGTAAATAATGTAAGATTAAAAATTTGTAAAATGAAACCATAGGAAGGATAATAATTTCAAAATCCTTTAATGAGATTATATAGTCTATATCATCAATAACAACATTTATAATCACTCTCATAAGAAATTTCAATATTTCAAGTCTGTACATATAAAAGTATCAAGTGAAAAGGGAAGTTGTGAGGTAAAAGAGGTCAACAATAACTTTTGAGTTTCTCATCAAAACATATTGAAACCTGATATGAAAATGTTCCATTTGATGAGTAAACATCGAATATCAAATTTATTTTAACTTTCATATTTAAAGATTTCTTCCCTCAACCACACATGGTCAACTTGTATGATAAGGATGGAAATCTTGAAAAAGGACCACCTATTGAAACTTTACCAAAATGATTTATATGATCTATAGTGATATAGAATTCAATTTCATATCATAAGAATTAGAAATGGTACCATGGGAATGTAAATGTTGATTTTCCAAAGTTGGTTGACTGAAAGGAAAGACAAGTCAGACCAAGTCTATCAAATATATCACTTCAATCAACAAATTATACATGAAAATGCTCCATTCGATGTGTAGAGATAGAATATCAAGTTTATTTTCACATTCATATTACAGATTT